TGCTACAAATCCCTACTTGTGCACTACTGCTGATATTCTCTGCCTCTCTTTTCCATTGTGCACAGATGAATTTAGTGGCAAAGTGACTTCAGCTGAAAACTTCAACACCAGAAGACCTGTAGAAGACCGAATCATAGTCTCACAAATAGCAAATAATTGAATAATTTCTAATTCTACCTTTCAGTCGAGATGCTAGGTCCAGATCTTATCTTCCACTCTGGGCTCAGTAGGAAAGGTTTTGCTGGAACTGTGAAAAGATAGCTTCAAGCTTGATAACACAAAGGGAGAACTACAAAAAATCACAGCTACTTTCCTAATCGCAGTTTGGGTATTTCTTTCACATTTCTAAGTATTTCTGTGAAGCTGGGAATGGGGAACTGCCAGTAGCCACAAGTTTAACCACAGCAGACTATACAAGCACGAAGTAGCTATCAGTGGAAGCGCAAAAGAGAGCACCAAATAGTAGATGACCAGAAAATAGTCACTCTAAAATTGAGTACAGTCTTACCTAGAGGAAAGCCTACAGGAAAGCTGGAGAGGGACTTTTTACAAGGGCATGTAGTGATAGGACAAGGGGAAATGGATTTAAACTGAAATAGGGCAGATTTCGATTAGATATAAGGAAGAAATTTTTCACTCCGAGGGTGGTGAGGCACTGGAACAGGTTTCCCAGAGAAGTTGTAGATGCCCCATCCCTGGAAGTGTTTAAGGCCAGGTTGGATGAGGCTTTGGGCAACCTGGTGTAGTGGAGGGTTTCCCTGCCCATGGCAGGGGGGTTGGAACTAGATGATCTTTGAGGTCCCTTCCAACCCAAACCATTCTGTGATTCTATGATTCTAAAATGAAACATTCCCACTGTGAATATGCATAAGCTGGAATAGACAAAAGTTAACATAAGAAATGATGTATCTGTAACAGTTTTAGAAGAAAATGCAAGAATGGCTACTCTCTACGATTACCTTGTTTTTCTACAAGAGACTGAGAAAAACCACAGATCTTTGTCATCTGTGCTGCTGTTCTGCATAAGTTGCACCACAGTCAAGCAGGTTTTGCTACACAGAAGTTACTAATACAAATAACCAAAGTTGCTGTGGAACTTGAGAAACTGAATGCTGACGACCTTCAGCTGACCAAACTTTAATGAGTCCATGTATAATCAACACAAATTTTGACGGAGAAGCACAGCTGACTTCACCGTCCAAGTGAATTTCCTCTCTAGGCAAAAGCCAATTACTGGCTGCCTAAACTCTTTCCTTAATTAGTTAAATAAAATGCTAGCAAGACAGGTGCTAAAAGGCAGGTCAACTTATTTTTTTTTTGCTGTAGTCCTTTGGATGTTGGAGGATCTGCTTTTGCTCCATTTGATTGTACCAGACTGCTCCTCCAGTGTTTCAATAAGAATGAAAGCTAGAGCACAGAGGAATTTATTCTAGCAAATTTCTACAGTCATCTCCAAAAGAAACTGTAGATTTTCCCCATGGGAGGCAGATCCAGTTGCCGAACATCTGCCCTGTGCTGTTCAGTGTTCTATTTCTCAAAACAAAACAGCTCCAGATACTCAGCCACCTCTTCTGCCAGATTTGGGTACCTGCTGCAACACAACAGAGATCATCCAGCTTACTGAGCAAGCGACTAATGAAAAATCCAGGTTGTCCATTACGGAACTATGCTAATGGTACACCACAGTTCCTCTTCTCCTCATGCATGGAGAAGAGGGGATGGGGAAGAGCACTGCGTATAAAAAGTTCCCTATAGGAATGGAATATTTCCTCAGTTTCCTCAGGGGACTCCTGAAAAGAAAGACAGGAATCAATGACACTTTCATTTCTGCACTGCAAAGCTGACAGTTTTGTTCACACACTGTGTTGGTGGTCTGGCTGACATTTCACAAACACAGAATACAAAAAGCTTCCCAATTTTTGTTTAAAGTCTCCAGGACTCAATTTACTGATAGCTTTGCTTGCATAATGAGGTGTTGACCTGTACTAACTTCTCACACTCTGGCTGGGAACGTATCGAGGAGAACGATTTCCCTGCAGGCACTGCAGAGAATTAGGAAAATACCTATGGGAATGGTCTTTCCAGAATACGCAGCATGCAATGGCAAGCAATTTTCCAAGATGGAGTGCTCGGACAAGCTTCATTCCTGTGAGGAAAGAGGAACAAGAAATTAGACTCCTGCTTTCAAAGTCAAAATACAGTCCCTAGTTTGCAGCATCGGTGCAGAACTAGTGCGTATCAGACATTTTTTAGGGGAATTCATCACTGAGACAGAATTTGCACGCAAGACCAGAATGTGACTCCATGAACTATGCAGAGCAAATAGTTCAAACCCAGATCCTATATGTTTCTATACAGGGGAAGTTACTGCAAGTGCTATACTGTGTGCTGTTCCTATAGGTTCACACCCTGCTGCACGCCTAGCAGTATGGTGTGCAAGAAGAAAGTTCCCTGTGTCTCTGCTGAAACTGAGGAAAAGGAGTAATAGAGCTGAGGTTCGGAGAGCTGGGTGGAAGCAACAGAAGCACGTGGGACACAAGGACTCGGGTAGCTGGTGTTGGGAACGTGGAAAAAACATCAGCTTAGTAAAAGGATACAGTCTGGAGTTCCCGATTTGGGCATAAAGGTGAAAAGGTACAGGGCACAAGGCTGGGCTTGTGCTTTCTGGCTCACGGCCATATGAAAATCTTGAATGAAGCATCTAGAGTCAAGAGTTGAATGTCCAAGTCTCTGCTATAACTAGTCAGTCCAGTATTCCTCACTCATTGGAAGCACCATTTGAATTCTTTCACCACTCAGACTCACAAAGATTTTCTTTACCATAGGTAATTCAATTTCTCACTTGGATTTTGTCTGTGACCTAGATCATTTATTACAAGTTAGATTTCTTTGCCTGGGTATGGGATTCTCTCAGTCTATCCCACTGGCCCATTCTGGACAATATGATACAACAGGGAGCCCTAGCTACTAACCTTCTGGCCAGCACTCAACTGATTTTACCAGAAGAGTGCAACTGACTTACTCAACTGCTTATTCTTCACTGCCTTCCCAAAGTCTCCTCTGTATATATCCAAAAGGCAGTGAAATATATCCTACAGTTGACTGTAGTTTAAGCAGTGCTTCTTTCTATGGGATCTCTTGAGAACACGGCACAAAACCTATTGGGGAAACAGAGTGTGAACTACTATCCTTTTCTCCAGATTCACCTCCAGGAAGAAGGTGAAAGACAATGCAGACGGAAGACGTGGGACTCAAAATGGAATTATGGGATTAACTCCAGTGGGTTTCCTGTGATGAGGATCTGCAGCGTATGGGTAGGTTCTAGACATGCTATAGCAAAGGGTAGTTTTCAGCAACGCTTCTAAGCCTGGGGTGGGCTGCTGCTTGGGATCGTGCCAGCTGGGAAGACCTGAGAAGCATATAGAAATGGCCACAATTGCAGTCACTCAAATTAAAACTGCAGTGAAGACCTGACAACTAAAATGCAGACGCTACTTCCACTGGGTAAATACAGAAGGGAGGCAGTGGCACAAAGGAATATTTGATTTTTGTACGAAGCTTTTGTTCAAAAAAATGTAGAATATGTTATTGCTGATAGGGGTATTGAATAGCTCCCACTGCCGTGATACGGTTGAAATCTCTGCTGATGACAAGTAGTAGCTCTAAATTGTTGAAGCATGGAGCAGATCAGCACTGAAACACATTTTCTCCCTGAAGACTGCAGCCTATTGAATAACAAAGGTTTGGTAGTTGAAGTCCCTCGCAATCAACCCTTGCACAAAGCATGCATTCCCAATGCCAGCTGTTATTAACATATTAACAAGAAAACTGATTTCTTGATGTGAAAACATCAGGTGTTAAATTTCCTCATTTACCCTTTTTTAACAGTATAGAAATCTCTGCATATAAAAATACTGTTTGCTCAAAATAATAATAGCCCTAAGTGTGGAATAAATGGAAATAAGTAAAAAGAACTAAAAAAGAAATTATTTTCAAATATAGAGAGAAAACAAACCCCTACCATTTTACCCATATTTAAGGACATCTATGTTTAGGGCTGCATAGTGTTTCAACAAAAATCAGTGTCTGCTGAGCATGCAAATGGCTTTTGCATCAACCAAAGTTGATGCTGTAAGAAAAAGATAGTCACATTTTAATTTTATAAATGTTTCTTGATGTCAACTACATATTACAGATTGAAAAGTGAAATTAGGGAGCAGCAGGATGTATTTCTTTATCTGAAAGAGGTCACTATTCCAAATCGGTAGTTAACAGAATGGTTAAAAGGAAAGCATGTTCTAAATGAAAAGACAGCAGCAAAAAAGCAGATCTGAATTAATCAGGAATAAATTCATCTGGAAACAGCTTTAATAAAAAGCAGTGTCCATCCTGGAACGTTCAACTAAGCTGGCTAATTAGCTCTGCAAAGACAGGGCAAAAAGACTGTTTAAAAAGGAAGCACAATAATGAAACTTAAATATAAGCCACATCTCTCAACAAAAACGAGACGGGAATTCATCTTCCCCGTGGCGCTTTCTACAGCTCCTGAAAGTGCCTGCTGCTGGCAATGAATGAAAGAAAAGGAAAAGGGGAGGAGGGAGAACAGAGAGAAAGAGGTGTTATCTTAACAGCCGGCGGAGCTTATCGCTCCGCTCCCTTCATGACGCTGGGAACTCGCAAGCCTATAAAATGTGCCTTGGCTCCCACTCCCCTTCTCCTTCAGCAAAACCAAAAGCAAGAGGTGGCCGTACAGAGGAGGAATGGGATGCTGTCCTACCCAGAGGTAGCTCTCCTGACCCAGCTGGTACAGCATTTCCAAGTTTGAACACCATAGCCAGAGCTTTTTCTGACAGATCTCTCCTTCCCAGTACCTGCTATGCTGCCTCACTTCCTTTTTTCTTCCTTTCCTCTTCTCACCTGTTAGTGGGGATTTTGGAGGGTTGGGAGAGGGAGGTGGGAGAGGCGTTTCATTCCTGGAAGAGAGGAGAGGAACATCCAAGATGACTTCTGTTCCCACAGCCAACTGGAATGTGAGCATGAGCAGCAGGTGGAACATGAGCCTTGCTGCAGCGGGCGATCCCTGGGGACAAGCACTGGGAGCACCAGCTGGAAACACTTCTCCCCCTGTAGCGTCCTCAGCAGCCAACTTCTCCAATCAGTTCGTGCAACCCTCTTGGCGCATTGCCCTGTGGTCTCTGGCTTACGGTGGCGTGGTGGCAGTGGCCGTTTTTGGAAATCTCATTGTCATCTGGATTATCCTGGCTCACAAGCGCATGAGGACAGTGACCAATTACTTCCTGGTGAACCTGGCCTTCTCCGATGCATCCATGGCTGCTTTCAATACTCTCATCAACTTCATCTATGCGCTGCACAGCGAGTGGTACTTTGGAGAGGCTTACTGCCGCTTCCACAACTTCTTCCCAATCACAGCTGTCTTCGCCAGCATCTACTCCATGACAGCCATAGCTGTGGACAGGTGAGAAAAGAGAGGAAAAGATTAGGGGTGAGAGATTGAGATCAGATTCTTTGCTGAAATAAAAATTCAGAGATCATAATCATTAAATTACAGGAGGCAGAGCCCTCAATAGTTCACGGATTGTGTTCCTCTGTACTCCTTTAAGATCTCTCCCTAACACACTGTTTTTCTCCCTGTCTTTGCTATTTCTCCTTCAGCCTTTCATTGATTTTACTCTCTTGCTGTCTTTTACACCCAACACTCCCTCTGTCTGACTTCAGCTGCTCTCTGTGCTCCGTTTTTTAATACTCTTTCTGTAACAGCAACCATTGCTCAGGGTTTTGCTTCCCCACTTGTGAAAACTGTACCCATCCCTCAGCCAGTGTCATCTAATTCATACTGATAAGGAGTTGCAGAGATTGTGTGTGAAGGGAGAGGATTTCAAATTTCCCTCCTCTTTGTATTTCTGCAGCTGGCAGAGGCATTTGCCTCCTCTTCAGAAATCACTTCAGCCTCTGTTTTTAACAGCTCTTCTCACAGACAGCTCTAAACTGCTTGGTTCCTCCTGATTTTAACTAATGGGACTATTTACATTGCCATCTGTGCACATCCAGAGGTCTGGTAAGAACATGGTTTTAAAGTGCTTGATTTTTTTTCTGATTACTCTCAGCTAAACAAGCCTTTGTGACTGTGAAAGAAAACAGGACAGGGAAAAACTTTACCTTTGTGCTCTTGACAACAATGGAATGGGACAGCTGCAGCCTCTGTAGAGTAAAGGGGAGATGTAGTTGTCAGATTTCTAACAGAGATGCTCTGATGGACCATCTTTCTCAGAAGGTGCTGTGTGTCCCCCCTAGGAAATGTTCCTTTCTTTAAGGTCATTTTCACATTTGCTGTACTGGAGAAATAACTTACCCCATGCTTTAGAGATCAAATAAATTCCTGAATTCTCATTCAGAAAACCAGATCACTTTATACTTTGGATCTTTTATTCCTTTGTGCAATGCAGTGAAACTACTCACAAAACTCCTTTCTACATATTCTAACCATGTTATGCATATTGTCTGATTGACTTGGCAGAACTGTAGCACTTTCTGGTGGTGGTAGTTAAGATTTTATAAGGTTCAATCCATCTTCTGAAACATTATTTCTTGTTTCCAGGTGCGAAGATGGGGAAACATTTTACTGTACCTTTTGTCTGTGCTGTGAACAAGCTCATAATAACGCTTTTCTGTTTGCCCTACTAATTGTAAATTTTAGGTAGCATTCTCAGCCAGACGCATTTCTGTTCCTTAAAGCTAAAAATGAAAGAGAAAATGAGTTTCTTAGCAACTCTTCTACCTCTCTGCTCGAGGGATGGGTGAAGACAGGGGGAAATCAGTACACTTTCCTCTTGCCAGTGATGCACCTTGTTCCCAACTGTTACTTCTCCTTGATAATGCAGGAGGTAGTGTAAAGCCAGCGATACTACCTTTAACCAGGCAGAGATTTATTCCACTGTCAATTTGAGTTTAGATTAAAATTCTCATCTAGCTTGAGGCTTTCAGAAAGATAAAAGGTTTTTAGTTGATGCTGAGGATTTAACTGTTATTGCTGCAGCTGATCATGTCATTAGCTGAGCAGTTACAAGGATGCTCTGTAAGGTTTTTCATTTTTTTAACAAAAGCATCCACAGAGATGTAGTACTTACTACCCCGAAAGTTTCTAAACCTACGCTAGGAAACTGGAAATGAGGACGAATACAGTTCCTTGGTAATCCAAAGAGTGCATTCCCGGAGTAAAGAACAGCTCTTCTCCACGCTGACTGAAGTGTATTGGTCAGATACAAATATATTGGAAATGTTTACTTGGTTTAGCAATGTGAGACAATGGTGCTCAGAAGTGAGTCAATTACTACTGTTATTCACTCTGTTCTATTTCTTGTCTGAAAATCCCCTGAAGAAATCACAATTTCCACCCCACCACATCTTCCAAGCTCACCTGCCCCCAAAGGCAGATCGAAATCTTCCCTTGGGGGGATCACCGTGAACAATGCCACAGCTGTGTTCAGGTGAGCTCTCTGTAGTACCAAGGAACAGCATGTAAAGCAAAGAGAAGAACAGTCTATCTCTGCTTCCCTATTCACACTGCTATTCCTTTTCCTTTTATACCACACCACACCTGTGATTTAACCTTTAATCATTCTCTGGATACCTCTGCTGAACAGTTCTGCAAAGTTAAGAGGAAAACTGAGGGTCAAAGTAAATCCCAAGGAATGTCCTTGGATGTACAGACTGCTCTATCGCAGGACATGGATCTGCTGGGTGGACATTTTTTAAAACTTTGGTTCCCACTTGCCTCCTGTAAAAGTTCAGCCAGTGCTTCACAGCTTCAGAAAGGACACTCTGCTTTAGTTTTGACCAGTAAACTTATCCTTACACATTCATGTTCATTTAAAAATTAAAACAAAACAAAACAAAACTACAAATTAGGATAAAGCTACTAAAGGAACTGAAAATGATGGGATCATATCAGATGATTTTCCAGTAGAAATTGTTAACATCCCAAAATACTGAAAGGTCATGGGTTGCAACTCACTAGAAGTATGTTGTGATATGCTTCACTGATCCTTTTAGAACATCCAAATATTCGCAGTCTAGTGTAGTGGAGGGTGTCCCTGCCCAGGACAGGGGAGTTGGAACTAGATGATCTTTGAGGTCCCTTCCAACCCAAACCACTCTATGATTCTATGAATGAGTGACCGTGAGTCTAGACATCACTGAGCAGATGTCACAGGCAGCACGTTTCCTTTCACATCTGATTCTGTAGGCCATGTTGTCTAAGTTGCATGCACTGTGAAATCACTGGACTGACACACACTTCGGTGGAGTAGGCAGTTCCTGCAGTGGGGTGTGCTGCATCTGGAGCTGAGGATGAAAGTATCCAAGACTGCTGTATGACTACCTGGTCATTGAACATAGAATTAAATTTATGTGGGTTTATTCACACTTCTGACCACACTTTCCCCTGCCTTCTGCTTCTTTTCCAACAGCCTGTTTGCAGTCTACTGCAGAGATGCCACACGTAGATTTAACCAGGCCAGCCTGAGTACCAGAAGCATCACAGATTTTACACCATACTGCTTCAGAGGCATTCATTCATTCGTTCTCTAGCTTGTGCCACACAGTACCACAGTTACATCGCTTCCAGCGCAATAGTTCCTTTAGCTACCTTATGGGGATAAGCTTTTAAAATAGCCTAAGATAAACTGGATAAGGGATAGTTCTGGAGCCAATATGCCCTTGCCACTGGCCAGTGCATGATCCTACAGGGCCAAGTGTCTTAACTCCATCTGCAACTACTGGCTGTGGCATAGTTCTTGAACATATTAAAGACAGTAACTTGGACAGAACTTCAGCCATCTGAACCTGACCATTGAAGACTCACTGTCCCTTCCTACCAGTTCTTAGCATGCAAAAGAGGTGGTTCGTGTACACTGGCAATTAATTTCCAATCCCAAGATTGCGTCATTATACAACCAGTTCTGCGTATAGGCCTAGAAATTCTCTGCAGATATCTGATGGTTAAAGTGGAAGTTTGGAGGTGTAGCAATACAGCATAAAATAACTTGCCTTCAGTAGAGCACTTAGTGTATTTTTTTGTATTTTTTCCTGTTATTAGCACATCTACAGTATGACTTCCTCAGTTATTGTTAACTCGGCAATTCCATAAGGACTTTCTCATTTCAACAAGTTCAACTCTTCAGAAAAGCAAGTGCTCTGGAGTTAAACAGGGTATTCTAAAAGTGACAGTGAGAAATTGCTGATCCTATTCACATCTTACCATTTCTTTTCTTCCTAGTACGCAAGCAAACTTTTGGTCTCTGAAGAGCTATTTTATATATAAATATTAGATTTCTTTATATGCAAAAATAATTGAAAAGAATTACATATATATACCAATATTTCATACAAATGTAAATAAAATTACATTTATGATACACCAATGCTCTGCATAACTGCAAAACAGCCTACAAGGCTTGCTGCTGCTCAACATGGGTCAACATAATATCATCAGAAAGACCTATGTAATTTTATTTTAACAAATATTTAGGAAAGAAAAAAACAATGGATTTGACTTAATCCTTTCTAAAGATTATATTCTGCCAAATGTTACCCATCTATCCTAGCCCTATACTCTGCAAAAACCCCAGCCTATTTTTCAGTTCAGCTACTTGCAGAGTCAAAGGTATTGCAACAAAAGAATGACAAAATAAAGTTCAATGTTAAAGAGAATTCCACTTTCATGCACTTGTTTAATCACAAAACTTTCCTCACATGTTGTGTTGACATCAGCCCTGGATCTGTTACAATTTGCTGCCTCATTGAGCCATTAATAATGAAAGTCCAATAATTAACTTCAAATTAGGAGATTATCAAAGTAAATCACCATTTTTAAAACTTAAAACTTGATCATTTCCCAAAGTCCTGTTATGATTTCAATAACAACTTTGTCTTTTCCCCTTTTTTCAGTCCTTTTGATAGAATGAAATACCTTTTTTTTTTTTTTAATGTACAGGCACATACAGCACTTTATTTTATATTTGTCTAGTCCAACTGAGCTGTTATGAAACTTCCTATTTGTATTTATTCCACGGAACTGTGTCTATGACTTTATTTTTAAAAGGAATAAGGCTATTAAAATTAGAGCTAAAAGACTCTTACCTTTGGTGCCTCAGACAGCTCACTTAAGTATGACTACACAGCATGTTATAGACATGGATAAAATGTTGACATCAAGATGGATGATTTTAAAAATTTGATTGAAAAGTTAAACAACTTGCAGCAGAATGAGAATCAGAATCCAAGAGCCATGGGCCCAGCCTTTTATTTCCCACACCCCTCCACTCACTTTGCTGAACACCAGACTCAAAATCAAATGAACCTTCACTAATAAAATAGTAGATAATCAGATAATCTCCATGTTTCAGAATATGATTGATTCTTGTTATTAGCAGTCTCTGTTTCCGTTCAGTTGCCCTT